AAAAAAACGAAGTCCAGATGACATGATTCAACCTTTTTTGTTGTTATATACCTGGATGACTGAGAAAACAAACTTTGTATCTTGAATAGAGTTATTTCTTATTTCTTGCATTATTAGGCAGGGCCAGTCCTAAGTTTTATGGGGCCCTTGAGCAGGATTTGATTTGAGGCACCAACTTAAAGCTAAAGCATGGATCTCATTGGGCTGAGACTGTTGCCAACAAATTGCAAACAACAAACACAAGAGTTTCCCAAAAGTTTTAAAGCTTGCAAGGGTTTCTAAACTTTCTTGCATGAATCTAAGGGTTTGTCTTGCTTTGATATCACAAAACATTTGAACAATTTAAAGAAAAGCACAAATTTTCGCTTAAAATTGTCACACAGTTGTTGCAAGTGTCTCAAACTCTTCTCACTTTAGTTTTCTAGAGACAGAAAGGATGACTCTGTGAGGGTTTCACCCAGTGGTGTAGTCTACATTTTTGTAGTGGGTATACTGTGCTTAGAAACCAAAGTACACCAGTTAGTACACTGCAATTGTCAATTTATTTTGATTTTTAAGCATATTGGACATTTCAAAATTTATCTGATGCTTTTATTTGAATAAATGTACAACAAACTTTGTGCAACAGTTGGCTTTGTATTAAAAACATGTTACAGAATGTAAACAGTATCAAAGCAAAACACGTTCAAGTATTACGTTGTAAGTACAGAAGTATTAGTTCAACAAAAAACAGGTTGAACCAACTCAATGTGTCTATAAAATGTTCCAAGTGTGTTGACAATGACACAAGCCCATGTCACGTATCATTGCCAATTATACATGACATGGGCTCGCATCAATGGGCACTTGTAAGTGGGTATACTGAAATTTCCAAGCTTTTCTAGTGAGTATACTTTGTATACCCGCGTATCACATAGACTACACCACTGGAACCATGTGATGGCTCCACCAGCCATCCTTCACAGTAGCAGCAAGGAGACCTGCTGCAGTCTTTGACATGTCAGCCTGGTCGTCTGAACTACTTTTTGGGTCCATTTCTTTTTTACGTGAATGATTGCTGGACTGGAGAGATGCTCGATATAGTCCTAATTTCCCAATTGTCACATATAGCTGTCACACCACTGGTGTATGACATTCTTGCATCTGTCTAGCAGCGGCCACAAGTGTCAGAAATTTGTCAAAGTTTGGTAGTTTTGTTGTGAGAATGTCTTGCATCAGACGTGCAATACATGTTCCCAGCCAATTTGGCCCAAATTACGCTTGGAGTTTGTGCAACATTATCAAATGTGTCAATTCAGTGTCACTCCAAGTGAAAAATTTAAGTGTGTTCACACAATATTGTGTTTCCAACTGGCTCCCAACAGTTGCGGCCAAGCGTATTGTTCACCATGCACCTCAACACCACCTAGTATAGCCTTTGAACCATTTATCAAAAATCCCTATTCCTGATATAAAAAATTCTTAACCAAGTTAAAAGAATTTGTGTATTTGGATAAACAATATTTTTAAATCAGTCTTTCATCTGTGCCCCCATCAGACTAAAGATGCCCTGTTCACCATCCTGAGGGATCTGCGACCTGGAGATAACTTTAACTTTGTCAGCTTCTCCAATAAGATCAAAGTGTGGCAACCAAATCATCTTGTACCAGTGACACCTTTGAATATCAGAGATGCCAAGAAGTTTATTTTTACTCTGTTACCAAATGGAGGTACATTACTGTCTATATTATAATGTTCATGTTGAAAAATGTTGCATTTTTTAACTTTACTAAGACAAAAGTTTGGGAAGAACTTTTCAAGTCAGTCTTGTAACAGATTGTTCTTTTCCTTCACTGCAGGCACCAACATTGACGAAGCCATCCAGATTGGTTCTTCGTTGCTTCGTGACTACCTCTCAGGCCATGACAGCAGCCCAAACAGCGTCTCTCTCATAATTTTTTTGACTGATGGACGGCCTACCATCGGAGAACTCCAGTCCACTTCCATCTTGGGGAACACTCGATCAGCCGTGCAAGAAAAGTTCTGTATCTTCACCATTGGAATCGGTAACGATGTGGACTACCGGCTGCTGGAGCGCATGGCTCTGGAAAACTGTGGGATGATGAGACGCATTAACGAAGAGGCTGACGCCAGCGCTATGCTTAAAGGGTACGAAACGGCTAAAACATTGGAAAAATTGACGTTTTTTCATTCATACTGCTAATGGGTTCATGTTAAAACATTTTAAATCAAAACAAAAAAATCTCTATTTTAAATCAAAACAAAAAATCACTAAAACCATTTTGCATGAATAAAGACTGCTAAAAGTTGGTACTGTTACATTTACAAGTTGCACGTCAATAGACTCGATGCGCTGACCTACATTTTTTAAATGAAGACCTTTATATTTCTGAAAGGGTTTCAAATGTGGTCAAGAATGAGTGTTTAGAAAGCAGGCTTGAAATTGTTGAAAACCTTTGAGCCTTAAGATGGTGTAACACTAGAGTCTATCCATCCATCCACCATCCATCCACACATACATACATCCACACATACATCCACACACACACACACACACACACACACACATACATACATACATACATACATATACCCATCCACCATCCACCCACCCATCCATCCATCATCCACCCACCCACCCACCCATCCATCCATCCATCCATCCATCCCTCCATCATCCATCCATCCACCAACACACCCATCCGTCATCCATCCAACCACCCACCTACCCATCCATCCATCCATCCACCTGTACATCCACCCATACATACATACATACATACATACATACATACATACATACATACAT